TGTTTATTTCTAAAAAGAAAAAGAGTGAGAATATATAATAGTAGATATTCTAAAACAAAGCTACCAAGTTCATGAAATATATAATTTTATTTTCTATAAATTTTAAAAATAGAGCATAAATAAGATGCAAGATCTATATAAAATTTCACATAAATTGTAATTTCTTCTTGCATAGACAAATGACTTTGAACCCATTTAAACCCTGCTTATCGAAGAACTTACATCCCTCCTTGTCAACTTCCTTAATGGCAATTATCATATGACATTTGCATAAATAATATATATTACATGCTTTTACTGTTATATCTTTTAAAAGAATAGAAAATTTTCATAATTATTTTAATACAACAACAACAAGAACAAGTCATTATCCCACTACGTGGGATCGGCTACATGAATCCTTTTGATTATTTTAATAATTAAATAAATAAATAAATAAATAAATGATTTGGAGATATAAACACATTTATAAGAAAATTAACAAACAAAATCATGATTCAATAAGCAATAATCAAAATGGTACTGATCAAGGCATAGGATTCCTCTATCCACACATTCATCGACTAAATTGCTGCTATGGCATTTTTTTATTGCCAAATTAGTCATTGCAACAAAGATATAGCTACGAATATGACAACTACTACAATATTTCAAGAATTTTTATTTGAATGCAAGAAGAAGATGAAAGAAATGAAATGAAATGGAAAGTTCATTGAGGATTTATGAAGAACCTATATCCAAATAGACGATTGATTTGAACATTTGATCACTTTTTTTGTTTCCATTAGCTCAAATTCATAACCTTGATACTTACAAACAAATCACAACAATTAGTGACCATATAGTAAAAATAATTGCAGCAAATCACAATAGTCAATGAGCACATAACATTAAATAATAGATAATAATACATCTAGATCATGCTCCAGCAGACTAAGTTGCAAGAAAAAGGTTTCAAAATCTATCTTGAACTTCATAGTTGAATAATAAAGATGGTTGAGTGCTGGATAAAAAGGAAAATAAATTATAGAAGAGATGCTTACTCCAAAGCCAAGTGGGCCATAAGGGATCAAAACATGGACAACTCAAGCTAAGCAGAAAAATAGATAAATAGAGTGTAAACTTTTTCTGTTCACCTCCGTCCACCAAATCCAACCTTGAAAAATATTAAATTTATATCATTGGAGTGACCCATCTGCTTCCATAATCTGTTGCTCTAGCTATAGAATTTCAAAGAAAGAATAATCTGATTCATATAAGTATAATTTTATAGAGAAGGCCAATGCTTTAGAAAAAAAAGTGATTTTCTTATGCAAGATAGTTAATTGCCCCAAATAGAGCTTCAAGCTTGCCATTCACAACGGGATTACTCCTGCCTTACTTGCTGCAATCATCAAAACATCTGTAGAGAAGTAATTTACCCGATAATTGTTCTTTGAGGCTTTTAATCAAACATAATAAGTGTAAGGGTTTGATTACATCATTCTATAACTCACCCTTCCAGGATTCCTTTCTCAACAGTTTCTGAAGGACAAGCACATGATATTCAGTTTTATCAAATTATCAAAAGGTAAGATATTCAGTTTTATAAGACCTAGAATGAAATCCCCAATCTTATCTGTATTTTATAGTACCTGAAGCTACCGACAGAACTTCAAAGATGCCAACATTTGTGATTCAGCCATTCAGCATATATGATGCTTCGTCTTCTTGCTTTTACTGTGAATATTAGGTATACAAAGTGCTGATGAAGTGGATTGGTAATGAAAACGGATTGGAACGTCGAAATTGAAATGAATCATGATTGTGATTTGAGCGACTTTGTCGTTTCGCCTTCCACCGATCATGCTAGATGCGAGTAGACGAAGTCTACGGAAACTGAAATAGAAAATGTTACAATAAAATTCTACTAATAAATAGATGTGGGAAAGAAGAATTGTTTTAATAGAAGTTGAAGAGGTTGAAATATTGAAGAAACCCTTACGGTGGAGACCCTAACGGCGGAGAAGACGACGAACAGTGGGAAGTCTAGGGTAAACCGAAGAGTCTGAGCAAGAGAAATCGTGGTTTCGGATAGGAAGCGCGAAATCACGTACTCGATGGAGGGAATCTGAAGCAGGGTTTGAGAAGATTAAATTGTTATTTTAATTTCATAAGCATAATTAACTTACATAATTAATTTATAAAATGTATGAAACCTCAAATAATGCTCATAATTATTCGATGGAAGGAATCTGAAGCGAGTTTTAAGAAGATTAAAAATATATTTTGTTGCAATTTCACAGGCATCATTAATTTACCTAATTAATGTGCACAATTATCATTAATTTCTAAATTTATTAATTACTTAAAATATAATGAATGGACCATATAATTTAAAAAAAAATTAAAATGGATGGCTAAGATTTAAGTTGGAAGGAAATTCAAATGGATTTTATAATAGTAGTATAGATATAGATGTATTATGTACACAATTAAAAAAAATAATTAGTCACTAAAATGACATGTATATATTTGTGGAAAATAAATCTCTAGACTTTTAGTGACAAAATTTGCAGCCAATTTTTCTTTTTGGTGGCTAATATCTTGATTCCTAATTATTTAGAGGCCACACTTACTTTTGGTCACTAAAAGATATCTTTAGCAATCAATTTTTTTTTTTGTCTCTAATTTTTTGGTCGCTATTGACCCATTTTCTTGTAGTTGGAACATTTCGAGACAGAACTTGAATGAGTCAAATGGAATATGATCAAGTCAAAGGTTCCAAATGGATGAAAGAAGACGTGTGTAAGCTGCCTAGAGATAGGTGGCAAAGTTCAATAAGTACAAATTGTGAAATGTTGTCTTACTACATAATTAATTTTCTTAGAAGAAGTAAACAAACATTTTTAAAGATTATGTTGGAATAAAAATATACATATTAAAGTCAAAATGTATTTCATGATTTCAGATTCTAGATTCCAATTTATCATTTTGGCTACAAGCAGAAGTGGATGGTAATGAAGTGTGGAAACAGAGATCCGAAGACTTGGTTGTTATTGTGTAAAAAAATTTCCCTCATGATAAGGGCTATTTTTTTTTTTTTTGCATTTTCATGTAATATTTTGTGATGATATTTATTGTAATAGATTGATTATGTACATATAAGAAGCTTGAAGTAGCCTTTTTTTTAAGGTGAAAAATTCATGTAATTTTAGATTTATGAAAAAAAATTTTTATTTGAATAATTTTTTTTTTATGTTAGCTTTCATAGGTGAGATTTTTAGAAATTGGATTGGAGATTAAGTTTTTGTAATTGAAATATTATGAGTTGGAATATTTTTTTTTTTGATAATTTAATGTAATTTATATTGAATAAAGCATATATTGAGGCATATAATAGTGTCATTTTATTAAACTTATTTTGGTAAATTGAAGTGTTGGGATATCATATATCTTAGGGTAATTTAAATGTGCTTTATTATTAAACATGTTCCATTAAATAAATGCATTAGGAAAGTTAACCTATTATGACACCTAATATTTGTCATATTTATTCATAATTTTCATCATATTAAGGTGTTATAAAAGCTTGTTTTTAGGACACCTTATAGGTGTCATTAAAGAGGATATTACATCAAAATTATATGTCATGAAAGTTTAGTTTTAAGGGCAAATAATGATTCCCTTACCCCTATGCCAATGGGCACCTAAGTGACACCATAATTTGATGCCCTAATACATCAAGTGTCTTAACAGATACATGTTAGGACACTTTAAAGTGCCATAATAGACATTATTTTTTGTAGTGATGATCAACTATTATTTATGGACTTGAGTTGTTTTAGACTTAAAAAGTCTAAGAGATTGGTCTGATACAGTCCACACACAATAAAATCTCTCGACTAATATATCAACAACATGTCTGGAACTAATCATGTAGAAGATAATATACATCAAAGTAATAGGGGTATTAATAATTGATATGATACAAATTTTATTCAAAAAAACTTATGTTTGGGTTCACCCAATTAAAATTTGGGTTGAATTTAAATTTATATTGTAAACCAAAGTTGACTTTACTGTAATCCAAAAAACTTGAAATCAACTAAATTTTTCGAACTTTTATTCAAGCTTGGGCTTTGAAAATAGAAAAATAAAATTTTTTGCTAAACATACCATATTTGATTTAAATGAGTTATTCTTATTCGAAAAATTGCATGATTCATATAAAAATTATTTTTATATTTGTCATATTTATATTAGGTGGGTGGATTCTAGTCAAAGAGTTTAATTTATGAATATAAAATAAATCGAATCAATTCCAATTGATTTAAGTTAACTTCAAATTAGATCGAACCGAGGATCCATCACTCTAAATTGACATCTTATAAAATAGAACAAAAACTGAATACCTCATTTCCATAAAATCAAATAGAGCCTATATGATTTGTCCTCTCTCTTTTGATTTTAATAAAGGGTAATGCTACAATCTTCAAAATAATGAATTAAAAAAAAAAAGTTTGACCTCAATTTTATAGGTGTAAACATTAAGTCATTAAATTTAATAGAATTTCATCATCAACTTCTAATTGAAAACAATTTTCATAAGTCCACCTGTTGTCTGACTTTCTGTTTAGGATTTTTTTATTTTTATTTTTTAAATATTCATTCAACCCAATTTTGCACCAATTGGTTTGAAGAACCCCGGCGCAAATCTCATGGCAGACCTCACGCCGTTATACAACTTCCAATCCATGTGGATTAAAAATATGCCAAAAAGTCGGCTACTTCAAAGCATAATCCCAATCTCCCAAAGCCATCATAACACTCTCCACGTGGCGAATGTCCGCGAAAGTAGGCCCGCACTGGTGACCAACATCCAAACCTACCGTCGCCCATGCGATGTAGTACTCTACTTTACCCTGGTCAAACGCCCTTCCCCTTCCTCTCCTCGTAACGCAACCCTCTATCACTATAAATACCCCCATCTTCATCCAAGCTTCACCAAATACCGTAGAACACGAACGTTAAAGCACGCAACACCAGAAAATCCAACTTATGGTGTTCCCAATGGCTCTTCTTAAGATCGCCGCCCACTGGTTGCGCTCTGGTAGCCGTGAAGCCAAAAAGCTAAAAAGCTACACCCAGCTCCTGCACAGAACCTCTTCTTTCCGCTCCCTCCAAGTCCTTTCCCTCTGCCCGAGCGTAGCCAAATGTTCTTTAGAAGGCAGAGAGTCACCATCCATAGCATGTGACTTCCAATCTACTCTCCTCACGACCCGCTCCTTCTTCCCTTTCTTCATGCTTCTCGCCTTCGAAGGCGGTGGCCTCCTTAGAGCCCTCCTTTTGCTACTATCCTATCCGATTTTCTTAGTCCTCGGCCACAACCATCATGTGCTCAGCTTAAGAATCATGACCTTCATCTCGTTCTGCGGCCTTCGGAAGAAAGACGTCGATTTAGTAGCCAGGGCAGTGCTTCCCAAGTTCTTTTTGGAGAACTTGGACGCCCGAGCATATCAAGTATGGGCTTCATGTAAGGGGAAGAAGGTGGTGGTCACTGGCGCTCCGAGGGTTATGGTTGAGTGGTTCCTGAAGGATTATTTGGGCGCTAACGAGGTTGCCGGGGCTGAGATGAAGGTTGTTGGTGCAGGAGCTTGGTGTTTCTTCACGGGTCTCATTGATGGTGGACTTGGTGTTGCTTCGAAGCATAAAGTTATCAGGGATATCTTTAGCGAGGCCAAACCTGACATAGGCCTTGTTAGCTTTGGGAATCCGCATGATCATATCTTCCTCTCCAACTGCAAGGTTTGATAACTGTCACAAACCTTTCTCCTTTATAATATTTATTTTGGTTCTTTCTTTTTTTGGAATACAATTTTTTAAGAGGTTTAGTTTTATGCAAAGCTAATATTCATCAGGAAAAGAAAAGTTTTTTATCCTGATTTTATTGATTTTGAGCTATTTTTATTTTTTTAAAATATATTAAGTTAAAACAATTGATAGTTTTGATTAAAATTACTTTATTACAGATTTGATTTTTGTCATTAAAACATTGCAATAATTATTAATATGTATCTGCAAAGATTGCTGAAAATGAGCATAAATGAGTATTTTAATTATGTCAAAACCCAAACAATCTAAAATAGACAAAACTATCACCACAGAAACAAAATAAAATTGCTTACAACCAACTTATCTATACGACTGTTACATCTACTTATACATACAAACTTGTACTTACGTTTTACTGTGTGGTTAATGCAGCAAACATACTTAGTAAACAAAGAAAAAAGCGACAGAGCCACCCTTCCGCGAGAGAAATATCCAAAGCCTTTGATCTTCCACGATGGCCGGCTCGCCTTCCTTCCAACTCCAGCATCCGTGCTCGCTCTCTTCCTCTGGCTTCCATTTGGATTATTTCTATTCTTCATACGTGCAGCCATCGGCCATCTCCTACCCTACAAACTCGCCAAAGTCATTGTCCCCTTAACTGGACTCCGCCTACGCATCGATGGACTTCCTCTCCCGACAACTCACAGCAACCAAAAAGGAGTCCTTTACGTCTGCAACCACCGCACCCTCCTCGACCCTTTGTTTGTAGGCACCGCTATCAACCGCCCGCTCACTGCCGTCACCTACAGCCTTAGCCCAATATCCGAACTGCTTTCTCCCATAAAAACCGCGAGGCTCAGCAGAGATCGAAAACTTGACGCCGCGAAGATAACCAAATTGCTTAATGAAGGAGACCTAGTGGTCTGTCCCGAGGGGACGACGTGCCGTGAACCTTATCTTCTACGTTTCAGCGCTCTCTTCGCCGAGTTGTCAGACAACATGGTGCCTGTAGCCATCGACACCAACGTGGACATGTTCTACGGAACGACGGCGAGCGGCTTCAAGTTCTTGGATCCGGTCTTCTTCCTAATGAACCCAATGCCAGAATACGTCCTCCGGTTCCTTGGCCCCGTGCCGGCGGAGATGACATGCGCCGCCGGCCGCACAGCTATGGAGGTGGCCAACGGGATACAGAAGAAGCTTGCTGATGCTTTGGGGTTTGAGTGCACGTCGTTGACTAGAAAGGACAAGTATTTGATGCTTGCAGGCAATGAAGGTATTGTGGAGCAGCGAAAGAGCAGGAGAAGTTGAGCGGTGAAAATAAAAAGGAAATAGATAATATTTAATTGCGTGTATTTATTTGTTTGTATATTGTGATTAAAATGTAATTTTATTCTTGTTGGTTTTATTGTTGTTGAGATTTCTATACATTAGCGGTGATTAATTAATGTTTCTATATTGTTCATTGGAATTATTCAATAAATTTAGTTACAGCGTTGGTTGGTAGTTCAGCTGTCGAATAGCAGAAAGTGAATTAGCTAGGAAAAAAAAAAGACTGTTTGATTGAGCCAGCCATGAAATGGTTTGAACATAAATTGAGTCAATTAATGAGGATAAAAAAATAATATTTTGGTCGAATCGGCAAGTTTAGTGACGTTGTACGTAGGGCTTGATCTTAGGAAAATTTATTAGTGAGACACGTAAAATTTGACTCACATAACATTTTTCAAATGTAAATATCTGCAATAATTTTTTTAAGCTAGGTCAGCTCGTGAACTCTCGTCACTTCTTTCCATCCACGCATCTTCATTTAAGCGACGGCGAAGGCTCATTGGCTCACGAGGGGAGAGGCTGATATTCATTTTCTCTATCAGTGCATGTCAGGCTATAAATAATCAATAAGATTAGGCTGTTAGAGACAGATGTTATGCTATATATCAACACGTACGTATTGGCATAATTACTAATTAATATCGAACTATGTTTCCATCTGTTTGTTTACTTCCCTTTAAAGAGGGCTGTATGGCTTTTTTTTTTTTTTTTTTTTTTTTTTTTTTTAAAACCCCAAATAGGGCCCCACTACGTATTTTTTTTTTTTTTTTTTTAGTTAAAACCCACAAAGAGGCCTACGTATTAATTTCAAAAAACTGGTTACAAGGTTCTTAAAAGGATCCTCCAGCTCGCTACTGCTCAAAAGAGCTACAATAGAAAATACAATAAAGCCTATGAGCCAGTGGATCCTTATCCTATGATTACAAAAATAACATAAAAGATTAAACAGACTGCAAGGAGGCAGCACCTAAAAAAGGAAGCTCAGATGGAAACCGTTCAGCTCAAACTTCCTGCAAAAATTGAGGATAGAAATAGATGCAAGTAGAAAAGAAATGGGAAACTAACCTTAAAATCATTGAAGCTCCAAAATTCAGTCGACTTAAAAAATCTGCAGAAAACACTCCAAGCGCACAAGTTATGGCAGTAATAGGTTAAGCAGTCATTATAAGAAATCTTCTTACCAATGCAAATGAATATGACATCAGCCGAATAATAACCCCTCGGTATACTCCAGACAACTATAAAGGACAGAAGCAGATCACCCATCATAACACCCACCAAAGAAAATTTCCTATCAGCCCTTCCAATGATCACAGTATAGGTTATATTAATGGACTTCCAATTACCCAGTAAACAGCTAAACATAGAGATATTACAAAGGATGTAATAAAAAAAACCTGTAAGTATGAAGAGACATAACACCCTCCATCAGATCATTATCAAACACAGAATACCCCGAATAGAAAATCTTACGAGGCTGATTAAGCTCAGATTTACAATCCTTTAAGATAATATCAATGTATCTAATAATCAATCAAAAGTGGTAGCAATTATCTAAACACTGGTTAATGATCGAGCCACACGTACAATAACAGCCAACAAACCATCACCAGAGTACTCCGCCCAAAACAGCTCATAACGGGCACCACCACCAAGTAGAAACTCAAAACAGTCACCAAGCCACCATTGGGAAGCATCAGAGAGCAGACGACAATGACAGAAACACCAAAAAAAAAAACCAAAAGAGAAATGGGAATAAAATTAATCATAATAAAACTGAAAGAAAAAGAAATAGAATAACCAACAACATCAAAAAACAGAGCCAGCAAGATCAGTGATGCCGAATATAAGGTAAACTAGATTTGTCCAAGTTGATCAGACCACTAAGCAAAGAAGGAATATATATAGGAAGCCTGAAATTCCTACAAAACATTAAGCTTGCTGCCAAAATTAGCCAACCAGTCGGCACAAGCATTCCCCTCCCTATAGATGTGAGTGAGGGAGTAATTCATGGTAGATAGAATATGCTAATTTTTCTAATGGTATAGATATTATGGGGGTAACCCTCCCCCTCCTTTTGAATAGTAGAAATGACCAATAAAGCATCAATTTCAATATGAACCTGCCTCATACCAGAATTTTGACAAAAAATGAGACCATTAAGTAAAGCTAACAATTCAGCAGAGAAGACAGTGCAAACAGGAAGAGGACCAGCAAAAGAAAAAATGAGTTCCCCATTATGATTTCGGATGATACCCCCATGCCCGCAGCATTAGGACCAACCGAGGCATCAGTATTAAGCTTAACAAAGGGGTAATTAGAGGGTTTAATCCAACTCACAACACGTTCAGTCCTACCATGAGCAACATCATTAAAGTGAAGGCCAAAGAGAGCAACAATGTTATTGTGGTTCTTAAAATTTTTAACAGTCAGAAGTTTCACAGTATACAATTGAAAGATTTTGTTTCTAACATTAAGAATGATATGCTGAGCATCCATTTTCTTTCCATTATGCTTGGAATCATTCCTAGCTTTCCAAAGATACCACATGATTAAAACAGGTATAAGGTTTAAAAAATGGCCTTTCATATCTATATTCCAAAGGCTAAGCATACCACCAACATCACAAGAATTTAAATTGCAATCTTTACCAGCAATATTGAGAAAATAGTACCACACTTTTTGAGCAATCAAGCCGTCAATAAAAACATGATTAATGGTTTCAGTACTAGAGCAACATTGGTACTTAGAAGGGAAGCTAAAACCTTTTTTCCACTTAAGATTATCAACCAGAAGGAAACATTTTAAACATCTCCAAGTTAAAATAGAGTAAGATAAAGGGATGTTGTAATGCCAAATCGAAGAGTAAATTTTAGACGCATCCCTTTTAAATCTAATAACATTCCAAACCTTCTTCAAGCTAAAATTACCATTAGAAGATAGAGCATAAAGAATCTTATCCTTGATCTGCAAATTTAAAGAAATATCGATGATAATATTCACAATACCATAAGGAATAAATTGAGCTAATTTGTTAGTATTCCAATTGCCGTTGTGGAAAAATTCCTTAACTTTCATATTAACAACAGTGTTAGTATTAAGAAGATTATCAATCGAAGAAATACCCAACCAGTTATCCGGCCAAAAGGATATGTCCCCTTTACCAAGGCCCCAGTGAATATACTGCTCCGCCTCCCATTTAATATTGCACAATCTTTTCCAAACATTAGAATCAGAATTTTTACAATCACAAACCAAAGGATTAAGATTTTTACAATATTTGGCATTCATAAAGTTAACCCAAAGGCTATTCTTGGAACGAAAAGCAAACCACAATTTATGAGAAAAAGTCTGAGCAATATCCAAAAGATTTTTGCAACCCAAAGAACCTTCATTAAAATTACCACAAACATTGTTCCAAGAAGACCAATTAATGCACGACTTGTTGTTTTTGGAGCCCCAAAAAAACTTATTAAACATATGTTCTATTCTAGTACATAACGCGGGAGAGGGTTAACGAAGAGTATGAAATATGAAAATAGGGATAGAATTCAAAACATTTTTTATCAAAATCAATCTACCACCAAAAGATAGAAAATTAGAAGTCCAATTAAGAATTTTCATTTGAATCATAGCAAAAATATTGTCAAACAAATGCTTTTTCTTCCTACCTCTATAAAGGGGAGTACCAAGATATTTAATAGAAAGAGAAGTAGAATTAAAACCACAAACCCTTTTGATCCCATTACTTCTAGCACGATTCACAGATTTACTCACAATGAAATTGCTTTTATTATTATTAAAAGACAAGCCACTCATACTTTGATAGTTAACAAAAAACTGAAATAAAACTTTAACATTTTTAATAGCAGCATTAGAGAAAATAATGAAGTCATCAGCAAAGCTAAGGTGAGTGATAGGCACACCGGCAGTATTGTGAAAATAAAGCAAAGGATTTCTAGCAAAAAGGTTATCAAGACCCCTAGAAAGGTACTCCATAGCAATAATAAACAGCACAGGTGAAAGGGGATCACCTTGTCTCAAACCATGTTCAGATTTAAAGAAACCATGATTAGTACCATTGATGATAACAGAGAAGTAGTAGTTTTCAATACTATTCTTAATAAGTTGGATAAACGTTTGATTAACCCAAAAAGATAAAGAATCTCATAAAGAAATTGCCAATTTAAATTGTCATAAGCTTTAGAAATGTCCAGCTTATAGATAAGATTACCACCCTGAGTTTTAGCATTAATATCATGAATCATCTCTTGAGCCAAAAGAATATTATCGAAAATACTCCTACCTTTCACAAACCCGATTTGATTAGAAGATATAATACCTAGAAGGATGTTCATAAGCCTGGACGAAATGATTTTCGACACAAGTTTGTTAAAAAAAGAGCAAAGACTAATGGGTCTAAAATCATTCCAATCAGTGACAGAATCTTTCTTAGAAATAAGAACAATATTCGTAGAGGAAAAAAACTTGGGATAGGGATTACCATTAAAGAAGTCCTTAACAGCATCCAAAACATCCTCTTTAATAAAAACCCACATTTTGATGAAAAATTTAGTGGTAAACCATAGGGCCCGGCCACCGAGTCCCCATTCATAGTATTAAAAATATTCCAAATTTCCTCATCCGTAGGAATCTTAGTAAGCATAAAATTGTCACTATCATTAACCAAACAAGGAATAACATTAGGATTAGAAATAGGAATAACAGTTTTGCTATTGATAAAAATATTTTTGAAATGCTCAACACCAGAATTAGCAATAGAGAGATCAGTATAAAAAAAATAGCCATGCAAATCAGAGATACTGTGAATGTGTCTTTTAGTTCTGTTCCGATTAGCCATAGCATGAAAGAAAGAGGTGTTCCTATCACCCTCCAAACTCCACTTAGCAGAAGTTTTTTGTTTCCAAAAAATCTCCTCTTGATCATGAAGCTGAAATAAAATAATTTTAGCTTGATCCAATAAAGAAAGATTGTCACTAGTAGGGTTAGAGATATAGATATCATCTAGAGCCAGAACTTTATCCTCAGCCTCCTTGATATTAGTAAAAAGGTTTTTGAAAACATTTTTATTCCACCATCTGAGAACTTGCTTAAGTATGCTCAATTTCATCCACAAGC